TTTTTTTTTTTTTTTTTTTTTTTTTTGTACCAGGGATTGAACTCGGGTCCTTGTGCTTGTGAGGCAAGCAGCGGAACCACTGGGCTAAATCCCCAGCCCTCCTTTGCCTAATGTAGAATTTTTTTATTAATACTTGATTTAAGTAAAAATCACGTCTTCATCATGTGTGTAAAGGAAGAAGCTCAAATCTGTGTGACAGTCATAGGTTTGTCAAAGGCTCTGCCTCATATTCATGTCTTAGCTCCTCAAGGAAAATTTCCTCTAACAAAAATAACCCCTCCCTCTCTCTCTGTCTCACTCTGCTACATCCTCCTGCTGTCTCCAAACCACCTTGTTTATATTGTTTATTTTGCGTAGTACAGGCTGCCCTTGAATTCATTTACCCAGACTGGCCTCCAACTCTTCAAAGTCCTCTTGCCTCAACCTCAAGCACTGGGATTACAGGCATGCACCACCTGGCCGGCCAGCCTGGGCTTCATAGCAGTTCAAGGCCAGCCTGAACACATAGCAAGAACCTGTCTGAGGAAACCAAGTACATAAATAAACAAACCAATGAGAATACACAGGGGGAAAAAATCTAATTCAAGATTTAAATAGTTATGAAATGAAAAAAAAGAGAATATACATGGACTCTGGCAGAGGCTATCCATTGTCACCTGCTGTTCATTCTCCCCCTTACTCCATTAGGAGGAGAACCTAATGGTGCCCAGTGAAGGACTGTTTCCAAGGACACCTTTACAATTAAGAAAAGCCAATATAGCCACATACAGGCCAACAGAATGTGTCATATTGCACTTGACTTCCAGGAAGGTTATCTGAGGAAAATGACCCAACTAGACCATGTTTACTTGTACCCTGGTGCTCTGCTGCCACCCCTCCTTCCCATAGCCTAAAATAGCTGTGATGGTAGGAGCTGCTGCCACCATATTGGGCCATGATGAAACACCCTGAGAATGGAAACCATAATCTAGAACAATTGAACAAAAAGACAGGCATCTGTAATCCTAGCATTTGGGAGGCAGAGGCAGAAGGATTGTCACGAGTTTGAAGCCAACCAGGACTACACAGAGAGACCCTGTTTCAAAAACAAACAAACAAAAATGCTCAGTAGGAATTAAATTTCAACCCGTGAAGCCTTGTTGGACACTGAAACCATAGCAGTCAGAGGCACAGTTCTCCAGGAGCTAAGAAATGAGGCTTCACTACTGGTGCCTGGTATTCTAGTGTCTGTGGGAGTCGGGCTGTGATTTAAAGTGGTAAGGATATAGCCTTTTTTCCCACATTGGTCAACTGGGCAAAATAACAATTTACAAAGGTGAAATTAAGTGGTATTTTTGAGTTGCATAAGAGATATATACATTCTTACCATTTAGATTGCTTTCCTTATTGTGGAAGAATATTGAAGAGAAGATTGTCACAGCTTTCATTTAGATAGAATGTTGAAGTTAGACTCATGTGCTAAGTAGCAACATATCATAGTTTGTTAGGGTGGTTAAAATACCGTAGACTAGGTAATTTATACATAATAGGCATTTATTACAGTTTTACAGGCCAGGAGGCCCAGTGTCCAGGTTCTGGTGGACTCAGTGTTTGCTGACTGTCATTCTCTGCTCTGTAAATGGCTCACTTCCATGTGGCAGAGGAGTAAGACAAATCCCTTTGCTGCATTTTATCTGGGAGACATCCCATGTGTGAAGGTGGGGCCCTGATGACCTCATCACCTCCTGAAAGTTTCCACATCTCAGTACCATCACAATGAATATGGGGTTCTAGCATATGGATTGTGGGGGGGTCCAACTGTATTGGTCAGGTTTCCTGTTGCTGAGACACAATACTTGATACAAACGAAAGGAGGAAAGATCTAATTTAGCTCATGGTTTGGGGAATTCAGTTTGTGGTCAGCTGGCTTCAAGGCAGAAACATCATGACAGAGGGGTGTGGTGGAGTAAAGCTGCTCAGTTCATGGTGTCCAGGAAGCAGAGCGGGGGGAAGATGCCAGAGAGGCAGGGACCAGGTACCAGACACTGAGCCCGAGGCCATACCTGCATGACCTTCTCTGACATACAGGGGAGGGTACCACCATTCCCTGGGCCGGATCCCAAAAGCAACCAAGTTGACATTCCACCTGACCACCGTACCAACATTCACACCACAGAAGAAAACAAAAGTACACCTGGCTTGTGAGGTTTTAAGCGAGTGGAAACTTTGGGGGGTGATGAAGGTTAAATAACAGAACCCCCACAACTGGATCTTTGTAGCTTTATAACAAGTGGGAAAGAAAGAAGTGGGTAGTACAGGTGGCACATACCTATAATCCCAGCTACTTGGGAGACCAAGGCAGAACTGTGAATTTAAATCCAACCATAGCAACTGCCTCAGTTTCTCATTACTGGGACAAAATACCCAACACCCACAGGTTAAAGGGGGGAGGTTTATTTTGACTCACAGTTTGTAGAGGTCCATAGTCTACTGGACAAAGCAGGGTGGCACCGCAGAGACACACATGACAGAGGAAAAATATTTCATGACGTGGCAGCAAAAAGCAGAGGGATTGAGGGAGTAGATAGGATATGTATTTCCAGGCCGCGCCACCGGTGACCCACCTCTTCACACCAGGTCGCACCTCCCAAATCACACCTGGCTGTGCTCCCATCAGGTCCTGATCCAGTATCACACATCCATGACCCAGTCAACTCCCTGGAGCCTCCACCCATGTGTGCATGAGGCTTTGGGGGACATCCACAAGCCAAAACAGCAATGTAGTAAGACTTTGTCTCGAGCCAGAAATATAACTCAGTGGTAGACACAAAGCCTTGGGTTCAACCCCTAGTACTGCAGAAGAGTGAGGAAGAAGAGGTGCATACACGTGTTGCCTGTCTCATGCCCCTGGTGATATGGGCCATCTTGAGACTGCCAACGAGAAGGCCGTGACCAGAGGAGAGCCATACACTGCACCTCTGGGACTCAGCCAAAATGAACAACTTTCTTCATAAGAAAGCTTGCCTCAGCCAGGCATGTTGGCACACCCTGTAATCACAGCTCTTGGAAGGCTAAGGCAGGAGGGTCCCAAGTTCAAGCCCAGATTAGGGCCAATAGCAAGTTCAGAGCCAGCCCACACTATAGTGAGACTCTAGCTCAAAAAACAGGAGGAAAGAAAAAAAAAACAGAGGAGGCACAGGTATTTAGTCGGTCGCCTGCCTCAAAAGTGCAAGTTCCTGAGTTCGATCCCCAGTAACCCCCCAAAAAGAAGAGGAGAAGCCTGCCTCAGGTATTTTATTGTAGTAATTAACTAATACTCTGACCTTTACCTTTGGGTGTTTATGTCAAATATGAAATATAGCCTTGTAAGCTAGGGTGCAGCTCAGTGTTAGAATGCTTTCCTAGTCCTAGGTTCAGTC